CCTCTCTTATTTCTTCCTTTGTGTATGCATGGCAGTTTTTTTTTGATTCATTCAGTGAATATGTATGGAGCACCTACTATGAGCTATATACCTTTAAGCACCAAAAATAATGATATTAATGGCTACTACCATCTGATGAGTACTTACTAAGTGTCAGGTACTTTGCTACATGCTTTACATATATCATCTCCTTTTGCCTTTACAGCCTCCTGTAAGGTAGGTCTGGTTATTTCCCTCGCTGGCTGCTGGGAAACAGATTCAGAAAGGTTAAGCATCTAGCTCAAAGGGTAGAGTCAGGAGTCAGGCCTGCTGACTTGAGTCCTTGCTCTTAAGCACTACGTTAAGTCCCCTGAGCCAAATCTGAATTCCTCCCCTAAGGGTGGCTGGAAGCATTCCTCCCTAGTCCTCAGCCCTACCAGAGGAGCTACTGACTACTGTTAGGAACAGCGAGGAGAAGCATTACCTCAGGTTCTCCCGAGGAGCCAGGCCACGTCTGTGGAAGGTTGTCACCTCATTCACATGCTTAGCTAAGGCAGGCATTGCCTCGCTGATATCCATGTTGGGGGCTGGTGGTGTCACCCACTTCAAAGAAGGTCTATTTGAGGCAGCTCTAAGGCTGAGAAAGATCCTGATTACATTGATCCAGAGCCTTCCACCATTAGTTCTGGTTTTTATTCACTTCTGTTTGAGAAGTCCATTTAATACCGTCTTTCTTTAAGCTCCATTTAAATCCACAGATATCTGGGCTTCCTAGCATAACCTATTTTCCTTTTAAATTGTGGTAAAACACCCATAACACAATTTACCATCTTAACCATTGTTAAATATACAACTTGGTGGTATTAACACATTCATAATGTTGTGCAACCATCACCACCATCCATCTCCAGAACTCTTTCTGTCTTGTAAAAATGGAGCTCTGTACCCATTAAACAATAACTCCCATTACCTCCCTCACCCAGCCACCATTCTATTTTTCTGTCTCTGTGGTTTTACCTACTCTAAGTACCTCACGTAAGTGGAATCATACTATGTCTTTTGGTGACTGGCTATTTCACTTAACATAGTGTCCTCAAGCTTCATCTATGTCATAGCATATTGTAGAATTTCCTTCTTTTTTTAAGGCTGAATAATATTCCATTGTGTATATATATTTATATACTATTTTTTTGCTTATCCATCCATCAGTGGATGATTGATTCCATGTTTTAGCCACTGTGAACATGATGTACAAATAGCTCTTTCAAATCTTGCTTTAAATTCTTTTGGGTATGTACCCAGAAGTGGAATTGCTGGATCACATGGTAACTTTATTTTTAATTTTTTGAGGAACTGCCACATTGTTTTGCATAGTAACTGTACTATTTTGCATTCCCACCAAGAGTACAGAGGGTTCCAATTTCTCCATATCCTTACCAATGCTTGCTGTTTTCCATTCTTTTTTTTGGTAGTAGTAATCCAAATGGGTGTGAGGTGGTGTATCATTAGAGTTTTGATTTGTGTTTCTCTAATACTTAGTGACATTGAATATTTTAAATGTTTTTATTGCCATTTGTATATCTTCTTCAGAAAAATATCTATTCGGGTCCTTTGCCTATTTTTGCATCAGGTTGTATTTTTGTTGTTGAGTTTTAGGAGTTCTCTATATATCCTGGGTATGAATCCCTTATCAGATAAATGATTTGCAAGTATTTTCTCCCATTCTGTGGGTGGCCTTTTTGCCCTGTTGATAGTGTCCTTGAGGCAAATAATTTAAAATTTTTTATGAGGTCCACTTTGTCTAATGTTTCTTTTGTTGCCTTTGTTGTCATATTCAAGAAATCATTGTCAAATTCAATGTTGTGAAGTTTTGTCCTATGTTTTCTTCTAAGAGTTTTATTGTTTCAGGTCTTAAATTTAGTTCTTTGCTCCATTTTCAGTTAATTTCTGTATATGCAAATAGATAGTGTCAGGTAAGGGCCCAGCTTCATTCTTTTGCATGCGGATATTCAGTTTTCCCAGCACCATTTGTTGAAAAGACTCTCCTTTCCCCATTGAATGATCTTGGCACCCTTGTCAAAAATCATTTGACCATATACATGAGAGTTTATTTCTGGGCCTTCTATTCTATTCCATTGATCTATATGTCTTTATGTTAGTAACACACTATTTCTATTAGTATAACTTTGTAGTAAGTTTTGAAATCAGAAAGTGTGACTCCTCTAGTTTTGTTTTTCTTTTTCAAGATTGCTTTAATTATTTATGGTCCATTGAAAACCCATGTGAATTTAGGATTCTTTTTATTTCTACAAAAATCATCACTGGGATTTTGATAGGGACTGAATTGAATGCATAGATTGCTATGGGTAGTATGACATTTCAGTATGTTACATCTTTAAATCCATAAACATGTGACGTGTTTACATTTATGTTTATATCTTCTTTAATTTTTTCGGCAAATGTTTTGTAGTTTTCATTATGTAAGTCTTTTACCTCCTTGGTTAATTCCTAAGTATTTTATTCTTTCTGATGCTATTGTAAATGGAATTGTTTTTGTAATTTCCTTTTAAGATTGTCCTTTGCTAGTGTATAGAAATGAAACTGATGTTTATGTGTTGACTTTGAACCCTGCTCCCTTGCTGAACTGATTGGTTTTAACAGTTCCTTTTTTTGTCTTTTTAAAAAAGATTTTATTTATTTACTTTTAGAGAGAGGAGAAGGAAGAGGGAAAAAGACAGAGAAACACTGATGTGCCAGAGAAGCACTGATCAGTTGCCTCTTGCACATCCCCCATCAGGGACCTGGCCTGCCTCTCAAGCATGCGCCCTGGCCAGGAATCAAGCCAATAACCTTTCAGTTTGCAGGACAACACCCGACCCATTACTGCGCCACACCAGTTAGGGCTCCTTTTTGTCTTTAGCGTTTTCTATGTGTAAGATCCTCTCTTTTTAAAAAAATCCTTAAAGGAAGGTTTTTTTTTTTGGTGGTATTGTAACCCTGATCATTTTTATAATTCTTTTAAGTAGTTTGCAGACAAATCAGAATTCAGGGGTGGGGGTGGGAAGCAAGGGCAAATAGGAACTCCAAATCTACTAGATTTCAGGTCATCCATGAATTATACATCAAACTATAACATATTTTGAAGATACAAAACCCCGAACTGTCTCAGCATCTGAGACAACATTAAGAGGAAAGAGAAAGGTGGAAGTGTGTGTATGTGTGTGAGCCTGAAAAAGCTACATGCAAACATGCTTCTTTTCCTCAAGCCCAAAGGCAGATCCCATTAGAAATAAGAGAAATAACATGTTCTCCCTTAGGAAAGTTCTATCTAACAAGGAGGTACCTTTAAGGCAGAAAAGAAAAGCCCAACAGAAGGGCACTATATGAATTTCTGGGCTTTAACAGAATGCAATCTTGAGGACCAGGTAGAATACTAATGTGAAAAAAGTTCAATAATGACATCAGCAGAAATTACTGTAGAAAAGGTTTTAACCCAGCTCACAGGTAGTTGTGACCCCCATGAATCCTTTGAATCTGCCTCCCAAATCTGAATAAGTGCAAAGCCCAAACATTTTGGGGGAACATATTACCTCCTTTAACTTAATTATATATCTTTCAGTGGTAAGAATTTAGAGATCCATTCAGCAAAATTTGTGGATGCCTAAGATGTGCCAGGTACCGATCTTAGTCCTGGGTATCTGGCAGCAAACAAAGTCCCTGGTGCGCGGAGCGTTCATTTAACTGGGGGGAGACAGACGACAGTCATATAAACCTGCACTGTGGCAGAGGTGGCAGTGATGTGAAAAGCGGTAACCCGTGGGATGAAGGGTAAGAGGCAGGGTGATACCTCTGATTGTCAGTAGGAGGAGCCTCTCATGAGGCTTGGTGTGGGCAGAGACTGAGTGAGACAACCGGGACAAGAGCTTCTGATACTTCTTTCTATGCCACACAGCAGCTGTTACATCAGTTGAACGTAACAGATGTTTGCTTATAAATAAATAGCATTTTATCAACCTAGTGATTATTTGAATGCTTTCCTATGAGGAGTGAAAGGATTAAAGGAAGTAGACTCTGGTGAATTGACTGCATTTTCTAGCCTAGTATTTCCCAGCTGAGGATGATTTTGTCTTCCCTGGGGACGCCTGGCATTGTTTGAAGACGCTGATTATCATGGTGTAGGGGAGGCGGGGAGGGCACTACTGGCATGTCCTGGGTAAAAGCCAAAGATGCTACTAAACATTCTACGGTGCATTGAGTAAGTCTACACAGCAAAGATTGAAGGGACCTAAAATGTCAGCAGTGTCACTGCTGAGGAATCGTGATTCGGCCCCCAGGCAGGCTGCTGTATATCTCCGGTGAGAGCTGAGGAACTGGGCAGAACTTGCGCTCCCAAAAGGCTCCACCAGAATATCTGGCATGTGCAAACAGGGTAGATCCAAGGCCCCTGGGGTTACCTTGGGGCATCTGTTCCAAACCATCAGACTTAGTTGGATGGTTTCAAAAGCCACATAGGGATTTATTCATTAAGCAGCATTAAATACATTTCCTGAATGCCTTTGGTATCAGACAGGGCCAGGAGACAAGATGTGGTCCAGGCCATCAAAGATTTCCCATCCTAGGGAGAATGGGAGACATGAAGACAAACACCTGCAATGCGGCCAGGACACACTGATAGGTAGGAATCAAATGAGGTTGGCTGGGGAGTAATGACTTTTGCTGGAGTGACCCAAGTAGGTTTAACATATAGGGCATCATTCAAGCCGAGCTTTGAAAGTGAATAGGCTTTAAACAGGCAGAGAGGACAGCAGAGGGTAAGATGATGAAAACACAGATAAAGAGAGGGAATAATGATATTAAAAGCAGCTGTCATCTAGCAGTGGCACCCAGAACTTTGTGGTGACAAACAGTTGTAGTTCAAAATAAAAACATATATAGGAGTCCGCCGCAGCCAAACATGACCCAGAGTGACTTGAATGCCCATTTTATCCATTTCAGAAAGATAATGAAATGTGGGGAGTTACCTGGGGCGAGTTACACAAGTACCGAAGCAGTTCGCCGATGTACTGAATGACAGTGACATTGTGTTTTCGGCAGTCATCCCAAAACTGGCTGGCTGAAAATTTGTTCCGCAAAACAATAGTAGCACCTGCAAAGAAGACATAGAAAGTGTTAGCAAAAAGTGCTACAAAAACACCTCCCCAATTATATTAGCCACTTTGAAAGGTAGAAACTTAAATATTGTATTCATAAGTGTTGAGTACCAATCATATTCAATGCAAAAAAGAACCCAAACCCAAATGAGACTTTGTTTTGTCATATAGGAGCTTCCAATCTAGTCAGAAAAAGACACATAAAAATTCTTTCTAATAAAAGTCAGTGTGCAATACATAAGAGGTTCAAATGAGCCCCTGAAGGAATATGAGTGTGTGTATACACATTAATTCTGCTTGTGCAAGGGCCAAGAAAGACATTTTTTGAAAGAGGTAGGATTTGAATTAGCTCTTAAGAAATGAATATGGAGAAAGATGAGAGAATTGCAGGCATGAACATACAGACAGAAAAGGCCAGAGGGTGTTGGAGGATGGCCAAGACTCAGCGGGCCTGTAACAGGGGTGGGGAAGTGTGGGGGGGTCATGAAAGATGGCCTTGGAGAAGCAGCTTAGAGGTGCAATCATGGAGAGCTTGGAAGTGCCAGATGGAGGAACCAGACTTGATTTTTGTGGGCAATGGAGAGCCAGGTTCTTGAGCAAGCAGGTGAATTTTTCTTTGTTGGGGGAGGTAGAGAGAATAATGGTTCCCAAAGATGTTCACATCCTAATCCATAGAAGCTGTGAGTGTGCCACTTTACTTGGCAAAAGGGTCTGTATAGATGTGATTAAGTTAAGGACTCCGAGCTGGGAAGATTATCTTGGATTATCCGGGTGGGCCCAGTGTAAATTACCAGGAGCCTTATAAGAGGCAGGCAAGAAGGTCCAGGGCAGAAGGAAATGGGATGATGGAAACAAAAGGTTGGAGTGATAGGCTTTGAAGACGAAAGAAGGGGCCATGATCCAAGGAAAGCAGGCCGCCTTTAGAAGCTAGAAAAGGCAAGGAAATGGATTCTAGCCTGGAGCTTCCAAAAGGAAAGCAGCTCTGCTGATGCCTTGATTTTAGGACTTCTGACCTTCAAAACAGTGAGAGAATAAATCTGCGTTTTTTCAAACCACTGAGTTTGTGGTAACTTGTTACAGTAGTGATAGGAGACTAGCTCAATGGGTAAAAATAATGTATCTATCATATTCTACCTAATTAGAAACATGAAATGTAGCAGAGTGAAGTAAACTCAAATATTTTTTTATGTTATTATTTTATTTATACTCTTACAAAAGTCCACTGTTTTCAAAGAGGAGACATTTTTAAAAATATTATTTTTAATTATGTAGCATGCATTTTTGCTGCTTAAGCAAATGTGTAAGCAATTGAATTGCCCCTTTGGGAGCCTCAGAGTCACCCTGTTCTTAAAAGGCCCAGCAATATGATGAGGCTCAGGGATTTCTCAGATTTGGAAGCTGAGGTGGGGCTGTTTTATAGCTGCCCAGGAAGTTCATGAGGGAAAGAAGCAGAGGCTTTTCCAGAGGCTTTTCCAATTGTATATGTATATGAGTGTATACTCATATATGTGTATACACACATATTATTATTTATAATAAAATATCACATGAGAAGAAAAAATTCAGTTTTTTTAGCTTAGAGCATTATAGATGATTTCCTGGAGGAGGTGGATGTTAGACTGAGCCTTACATATGAAAGTGGCATCAACCCTGCTGAAAGAAGAGAGGATGGCAACTCTGATTGGAATGGTAAAGTCTGAGAAGGAAAGGAAAGAGGTGACAAGCCAGGTGCTCTGACCGGAGCTGAGGAGCCATGGGAATAGGGAAGAATAAAGGAGGAAGGGGACAACAGAAGGACAAGTTCACATTAGACACTGATGGAGGCCCACGTGCAGATTTCTGAAGATGAAAATGATGTCAGAGAATTATTTATGGCATATGAGAATCAAAACTCTTAACCTTGATAAAAACCTCAAATATTTTAAAAGAGTTTTATCCTTGACATACTGAATAATTATAGCAGTATACTGCTAGACAAGCAGGCATGAAAAAAATAGAAACTAATTTAGATACCTGCTTGCAGTGTGTGAGGCAAATAGCTTTGTTATTAACATAGAAGTAAACAACCTCCCAGCACACAGGAGAGCAGCCACATTTGAATTACTTTTTCTTACGAGTATGTGCGAATGTGTACTGACCTCAAATGCTTTGTGGAGAAAAAGCTTACCAGCCACAATACTTCCATGCAAGCTGATCAGAAGCGCAGCACTGTGGTACAAGGGCAGAGGGGCATAGAGGATATCATCTTTGTTCACCCCACTTAGAGAAGAGAGGAAGGTTGCATTCCATATGCGTTGATGAGTGATCACTGCAGCTTTCGGGAGACCTTTGCAAAGATACAAGAGAAGGCATGAGTGAGCCAAGATCGGCCATTCGCAGACACGTGGTCTGCATATGAAAACTCATCATCCAGTGGTTAGAGAATTGCAGAGGAGAGGGCCATGATTCGTTAGACCAGGAACCGCCAATTTTCTCTGTAAATGACCAGACAGTAAATATTTTAGGCTTTGCGGGATCACACAATCTTTGTCACAGCTACTCAACTCTGCTATTCTGCTGCAGCTAATAGCAGCTAAACACATAAGGCAATGATTATCTCATGGCACACATAAACTAATTACCAAAATTCTGTGTCACATCAAAAATATATATTTTTTGCTGAGCTGACAAAAAAAAACAGGTATAATTTTCACACCAGTCAGCTACTGTGTGGGCTGTTGTCACTTTTCATTTGACACTCTAAAGGAAGAGGTCAGTGTCCCTGACTGAGTAGTTAGGTATTGTATGTTTTAAAAATTCTTGCAGCACACCAGTTGAAAATTGCTGACATAAAGGAATGAATGTGGCTCTGACACAATAAAAGTATTTATGGAAACAGGTGTGTGGGGTAGGGGGTTGGGGGTGCTATAGTTGGCCCACAGGCCAGAGTTCGCCAACCTCTGTGTTACACGGTTACTACAGTAGTAATTTTCAGAGAAAGGAACAAATGGCTATTGGATTTCTGCTCTATGCCTACCACTTCGCAAGACATCTTCAAAATTTCACTTAATTCTCATAATTAATAAGTAGAGTTATATTCTCTAATCCACAGATAAGAAGGCTGAGTCTCAGAGAGAGTCAATAGCCTGCCTGTCCCATCACCTTCCTTCCTAAACACTTTTATGGATTTCTTAAGTATTCTATATGCATGTATGTGTATACATGAATACATATGTATAAGGAAGCTTATACATATATATGCAGTTATGAACATTTGCTCGTATGTTCTTGCCCTTTCCCCCATTTAAAAACTAAAAACACTCTTAAGCACTTTTTCCCCTCCGCTTAACAAGGTGTCTTGGAGATCAGTCCACATTTGTACATAGAAATGTCCCGTATCGATTCATTCATTTATTCTCTGTCTCTCAGTTGCACCAAGTCCTTTGTATGTGTATATTATAATTTATTTATACTGTTTTGCTGTTTCAAATGCTGCTGCAGTAACTAACCTGGCCCCCGTGGTAGTTCGCACTGTGCATGATACCGTATATTTAGGACAATTTGCTGAAGTGAGATTGTAGGGTCAAAAGATATGTCTTTGTAATTTTGATAGACAGTGCCACATTGCCAGTTTCAAGGTCTGATTCTATTTTTTCTCTCAGCAGCAACATATGAATGTACATGTTTTCTCAGCCTTGCCAAAGTGTGCTCTCCAATGGTAGATTTTTTGCAAATCTGAAAGGTGAAGAGTGGTATCTCAGTGTAGTTTTAGTATATGACTAAATACATATATATTTTCTTAACTATAACTTATGAAGATTAACTTATGAAGATTTTTTTATAAGACTTTATTGAAAGGATTTTTTTATACTGTTCCCCATGGAAGGTCAATTTAATTGAGGAGAGCAGGAAATCATTACTAAGGGGCTGGGCTAGAGTTTAAGATCTGAGTGAGTAAATTGGCTTTGTAAAAAGCAATGCAATTCTCTGTACACCCAGACCCTCCAACTCTTGATGCCACCTTAGCCAGGTACTGCCTACAGAACGGCCATGTGTTACAAGGCAAAGCAATGTGGCTGGCAAACGACCCTCGTAGACACAACGGAGACTTCATTTCCTCTGACAGCAGAACAGTGGTGTTGTGTTAGTATCTAATGCCCTATCAACACTAATATTAAAAAATAGAAGAAAGCATCAAGAAACCAATTGTATTCACCATGAAAAAGAATCTTCTGGATAGTAAAAGCCTTGAATTATTATTATTATTATTTTTTTAATATATTTTATTGATTATGCTATTACAGTTGTCCTGTTTTCCCCCCTTCACTCCCCTCCACCCTGTATACCCTCTCCCATCCATATCCCCCCCTTTAGTTCATGTCCATGTGTCATACTTATGAGTTCTTTAGCTTCTACATTTCCCATACTATTCTTACCCTATCTATTTTCAACCTACAATCTACGCTACTTATTCTCTGTACCTTTTTCCCCTCTCTCCTCCTCCCACTCCCCTGTTGATAACCCTCCATGTGATCTCCATTTCTGTGGATCTGTTCCTGTTCTAGTTGTTTACTTAGTTTCTTTTGGTTTTGCTTTAGGTGTGGTTGTTAATAATTGTGAGTTTGCTGTCCTTTTACTATACATGTTTTTTCTTTATCTTCTTTTTCTTAAATAAGTCCCTTTAGCATTTCATAAAATAAGGGCTTGGTGATGATGAACTCCTTTAACTTGACCTTATCTGAAAAGCACTTTATCTGCCCTTCCATTCTAAATGAGAGCTTTGCTGGATAGAGCAATCTGGGGTGTAGGTCCTTGTCTTTCATGACTTGGAATATTTCCTTCCAGCCCCTTCTTGCCTGTAAGGTCTCTTTTGAGAAATCAGCTGACAGTCTGATGGGAACTCCTTTGTAGGTTACTGTCCCCTTATCTCTTGCTGTTTCTAGGATTCTCTCCTTCGTTTTTACCTTGGCTAGTGTAATTATGATGTGCCTTGGTGTGTTTCTTCTTGGGTCCAACTTCTTTGGGGCTCTCTGAGCTTCTTGGATTTCTTGGAAGACTATTTCCTTTGCCAGACTGGGGAAGTTCTCCTTTATTATTTGTTCAAATATGTGCTCAATCTGTTGCTTTTCCCCTTCTGGTACCCCTATAATTCGGATGTTGGAACGTTTAAAGATGTCCTTGAGGTTCCTAATCTTCTCATTTTTTTGAATTCTTATTTCTTCATGCTTTCCTGCTTGGTTGTTTCTATCTTCCTTGTGGTTCACTGTATTGTTTTGAGACCCAGTTTCCTTTCCTTCACTATTGGCTCTCCTCCGTGTATCTTCCTTCATCTCTTTTATGGTAACCTGCATCTTTTCATCTAATTTGCTCCCAAAATCCACCAATTCCGTGAGCTTTCTGATCACCAGTGTTTTGAACTGTGCATCTGACAGATTGGCTATTTCTTGGTCGCTCAAAAGGATGAGTCCTGGGGGACTGATCTGCTCTGTTGCACACATATCTTATGTCTTTCCTTGTCTCTCCTTTTTTTTTTTTTTTTGGTCTGGTCGCTCTTGTTACGGTGGGGGGCGGAGCCTTAGGTGTTCACCAGGGCTGGGCGCCCCAGTCGCTAGATTGTGACCTTATATGTGGGGGCGGGGGTGGGGGCGGGAGGGAATCAATGGCGGCAGCTCAGTTCTCCTGGGCCCAGACCTTTCCCCGGGCTCCTGGGCTGCGAGCTCTGCCCTGGTCCACAATCGCTGACCCACTGGGTCCGGCAGCCGCAGCTTGCGTACTCAGGGTCCACCGCTGCGTTCCTGTGCCCGGGATGGCTGTCGCGCCGATTCCGTGCCAAATTTCCCCCGACCTCCATGCGCTGCCGACCTGCGCCAGCCCCGCGCCCACTCGTGGCTCGTTGTCTCCTACCAGTCTGGATGTACGGGTCTACTTCAACTTCTTGGCTGTCCGACTTCCATTCAGATGAATCCCCTATTGGTTCTGGGTGTTATGCTGACTGTATTTTATTGTTGTTCTAATCTTGGTTGTGCGAGGAGGTACGGTGCGTCCACCTATTCCTCCATCTTGCCGGAAGTCCAGCAAAAACTTTCCTAATTTAAGATTTTGTATTAATGAAGAAATAAGAATGTTTGGTAGCTATTATGTAACTGTGTTCATGACTGCCTTTGAGGAGCAGGAACAACATTTTGCTCTCCAATGGCTTAAATGAGTTCTTTCAATTAGTGTTTACAAGAGTAACTTAGCAAAATTTTATTCAGAAGCTACAAGAAAGAAAAATAATCCCTGGCTGGTGTAGCTCAGTGGATTGAGCGCGGGCTGCGAACCAAAGTGTCGCAGGTTCGATTCCCAGTCCGGATACATGCCTGGGTTGCAGGCCATGGCCCCCAGCAACCGCACATTGATGTTTCTCTCTCTCTCTCTCTCTCTCTCTCTCCCTCCCTTCCCTCTCTAAAAATAAATAAATAAAATCTTTTAAAAAATCTTAAAAAATATGAATCTAAAAAAAGAAAGTAAAATAAACATTAACCCAATCTTCCAAGTAAATATTAATTCTGAATTAATTAGTTACAGAGTGCTGATCTTTTTCTCCCTAAAATGGGTTTCATCTGGACTGCCCAGACCTGCACTGGGAAAATGCTTGTCTATCTAGCTTCAAGACTACAACTCCCTGTCACCACCCAAGGGCTCATGTTATCTCCATTCCTTCCCAAATCAAAGTTTACAATTTAATTTTACCATTCTCTTAAGAAATGAGGACAAAGCATCATATATTACGGTAGTGTCTGTATGTAGTGGAAGCATTTGGTTGACTATGTCACCCTACCATTTTGATGGCGATGCAGTACATATTATAACTGGGGAATAAGAAGGTTACACCTCGTAAGTGTGGAGGGAGAACTGTATGGACAGATGCCATAACGCTCTTAGGAGAGCTCCTAGTCCATCCTACCCTTAACATTTATTGCTTGTTCCATAGAGCAGTGTTCCAATAACGCTGTTGATTGGCCGTGTTTTTTTCTTAGTGGCTCATAAAAACAGTGCTGCAGCTTACAGTTGAAGGCATCCCTGTTTGATAAAATACAATGTCTTAGCGGAGAGCCATCCTATCCCCAGCCCAGCAAACAGCTCCAGCTCCATGTTACATGAGAAGATAGTCATCATAACATTTATAAAAATACAACCCCATTATTGTCCCATGTCTTCTCTGTTGTTCCATTTATAACTGGTTATACTTTACCTATGGACTCTGAATATAATAAAAATATAACAATCATTGAAAAAATTCCAAAAACCTAGTCAGTGTCAAGTTTCATCCATCATCACAACAATGTTGGTAACTTTTGGGTAACCTCCTTATCTCTTCTACATACCAATGAGGCGGACCTGTGCATAGCTTGGAGAAACCCTAAAGAGATGATATGCTATGAAATAAGATCAGTTCCCACAAGCAAAGAGCTAAATCCCCAGAAGTAGTAGTTCTCTCATAAGTTTTGTCAAAGAAAGAGAACATTTGAAGACCTATCCCAGTATTTAACTTGTTCAGGACAGGTTTGTTTCTTTCAGAAGCCTGTCCTTATTTTCACCTGTGGTTCCAGAAGTATAGATGTATAAGGCAGGAGTGGAAAAAGTGACTTCGGACCTCCATGACTCTGGGATGGGCTCGGTTGACACCTCATCCACTTTGTCCAGCAAAGAGCCAACCCCCTCTGTGCTGGATGCTCTGCTCACGTAGTAGATGGCCACACTGTCCTTCTCCAGGCTGGGCAGCACCTCTTCAACAGCCGCTTGCAGTTCTTCATTTAGTGAGAGAAAAAAAACCAAACACATTAAATGAGTGCATTCAAGTACTGTTAGTGCAAAAAGCTTCACCGTGATTTTATTTTCAGCATAATTTTTGCTAAGATGTACAGACATGACAAGTGAGGCTTAGAGTTATCCATTTTTAGACATGGAATTTGCCACATTTGAAAATATCACAAGATTCCAACATTTGAGGGAAGGTAGGGCTTTGATGGTTTTTCATAAGCAGCAACTGGTTGGTTAAAATCTGTACAAACAAATGGACAGATGGGTAAAAACCAAGATACATAAATGTATAAATTATATGCACATTTGGTATACTTCTCAAATACTCCAGAAGTGAGTTTAGTTATTCCCAATATGTGCCCCCCAGGATCAATGAGGAAAAAGAAATATTTAAAGAAGGAAAAATAAAAATAAGGGAGCCATGCTAAGTAACAAAGATGATGCAAGTTGGGTTTTTTTTTTTTAACACATTATTAACAAATAGTTCCATTAGGAGGTCTCAGCTGGTCTGAGAAATAAGCTCTAGGTTTCATATGCATGTTCTCTGGTCTGAGGAAAAAAAACTGACTAGCATGTTTTCACCATGGGTCATAATGCAGCAGTGGGTTGTTAAAATCACTTCAAGTGACCAGTGCTTTTAAAAATTAAAGCAGAATGAAAGAGAAATTTCCAGAGCGCACCACACCTAGTAAAAGGTACTTACTGTTTTTTAAAAGTTTTGCTTCAGTTATGTTGGTTTGTGGGTCACACACAAATGTATTTTTCACTGTAAGTCAAGGTTGAAAAATTTTGAAGACACTAATTTGATATGCAAACTACATTTCATGCATGCCACTTGGATTTCTGTGCCCTTAAACCATACGATGGAAAGGCCTTTAAGCTTACTTGTCTTGAACTGTGGTAACTAAAGTGAATACACTTATTCTTAATGGGAAGGTGACTCAATATCCAAGGGAATTACCTTGGGGAGGCCATAGCTAAGCCGTCTTATATGCTTTGTTTTTCAGATGTTTGTGTATAATGTCTTTAACAAGAAATATCCTCTAGGTTGATACCTTTGAATTTTTTAAAAAAGCAGTTTAGCCCTGGCCAGGTAGCCCAGTTTGCTACAGCATCATCCTGATACACCAAGGCCGCATAAATAAGTGGAACAACAAATCGATGTGTGTCTCTCTCTTCCTCCTCCCTCTCTCTAAAACCAATAAATAAAAAATTGTAGAACCCCCCCAAATTTGAAGACATTTTAGTCAAAGGACTCATGGACCTGATAAAAAGTCAAATAGCAAAAAAGGTTTATAATGAAAATCAACAGGACTGGAACTTACCTCTCTCAAAACTAAACCTGCTGCCTAGCTGTAATCACTTTCAACTTTTTAAGCTGTTTCTTCTGGCAATCACTGTTCATCACCAAATAATGTGCTTTTCCTGCTGCTTCTTGACCTGTGAATTTTTATGCCCACACCTGTTTTACCTGTGTACACTCCCAACACTTATTATGTTCTCTTTCTGTTGTCTGGGTTAATGGTATTTATATCTACCCTGAGATCGTAATTCTGTCTTCCCAGCTTTGTCTATGAGTTGGCTCTAGAAGCTGAAAACCAATAATCAGAACTGAAGAGATTATGATGAAGTAAATATTATTCACACTATAGTGTTTCTGATGTCACCTCCTATCTACCTCTCATCCCCTTTCCTCTAAGCAAACTGATCTCTGTGAATCAAAGGTCCCTCTCCTCTCACATCTCATTTCCTTTGTCTGGGTGATTTCATCAGCTTGGAGCGACCTCCCAGCCTCTGTCACCTGGCCAACTCCTGCTCACCCTCCAAGGCTCAGACTCGCTTCCCTGCTGCCTTCCCTCAGGGCCACGCTGGCGCTCCCACAGGACTCTGTGCGCACCTGCTCCAGAGCATTTACTACGCAGTGTGGCGTACTTCAGTTCTTCTCCTTGACAGTGAAAACTTTGAGATCGAGGGGTCATCACTTAATCATCTTGGTGCCACCCCACTAACATTAGATGATTTATCATGGAAAGAATCGGCACAAAGTACTGTATTAGTCAGCGTGGAAGAAACAGAAGAGTAACTTAAAGCTGTTGATTTTAAAGGAAGCAGGTCTTGCAATACTGTGAGTGGATAAACCTCTAATAAAATAAAGTGCAAAATAAATAATTTCTGTGACACGTGTATGCCTTGCATGCAAGTAAGAGCTCACAGAAGTAAATTAAAAAACAACTACCATTGCTACTTAAAGAATTAAGAACTCTCCCTCCCTCATGACTGAGGCTGAAACTATATAGTCAAATTGTGTGTTTGTGAATTACCTGGATTAGTTCTCACTTTCTCCCAGGATTTATTCAACATCGATTCATTTTAATATATTTTTTTAAAGTTGATTTTAGAGAGAGTGAAGGGGTGGGGGAGAGAGATGGAGAGAAACAACAATCAATTGCCCCTTGCACGTGCCCTTGACTGGGAACTAAACCCACAATCTGGGCACATGCCCTGACTGGGAGTCAAACCTGCAACCTTTTGGTTTCCAAGAAGATGCTCCCACCAAGTGAGCCACATTGGCCAAGGCTATTCAACATCTAAATAAAGAGTGTTCCCTATGTGCCCGACATGGTTCTGAGCACTGGATACAACAGTAAGCAAACCAGATACTGCCCCTGTTTCAGAGCCTGGGTTGAAGTGGAAGGAAATGAGAAATAATCTATTAAAAGCTGTCACAGGCGTCACAATCAGGAAAGGAGACAGTGTTTTGGAAGCACTTGAGAGGGGCACGAAGACATTCCAGAGGAAGTGTTATCTAAATTGAGCTCTGAAAGAGGGGCGGGAGTGCCCGAAATAAAGACCCACTGAAAGGAAACCGACTAGGCCTGTTTCCAGCAAAGGACTCAGCTTATGCAAAGTCCGTGAGGCAAACTGCAAGGTGCCTTAAGTAAAAGAGGCTGAAGCTGATCAGGATGCAGGATGGGAGGGGAAGAAGATTGGGGGAAAAGGCCTGGATGTAAGAGGAAGCAGGTCCCTGGCTTAAGACAGGTGAGAATGGGTTGGAGGGACAAGACCAGAGCGAGGGAGACTATTTGTAGATCAAGCTTTTTTGTATTAAGGTAGCACGAGAGGGTGGGGAGAAGTAGATGTATTAAAGAGATGTTTGGGATGTAGAAAAGACAGGATTCGGTGACAGTCTTGATGAGAGCAAAATTCAAAAGAAACTTGAATTTTTTTCGTAAGTTTTGAAAGGAAGATATACTCAGGCATCAGCGCTGTAAACATTAATTATAGTAATAATAAAAAGTAAAAGGAAATGTAATTAAGCAGGTGTCACCCTGGATCACCAGGCAGTTTAGTAACATGCACCTTCTACTTCAGTCCTGTCCCCACTTGGCCCTCCAGGCATTCAGTCTGTGATCTCTGACCCTTCACAGAAGCCACCCCGTCTAATGGGAAGACTGTCGCTCCTGCCCACCACAGTTTCCCTGACCGTCCTGCGGGCTGTTGATGCAGAATCTGCATTACGGCATTGACTTGAGTGTCTGGTAGCATCAGAACACGCCTAAGAGTACATCCTGTGGTAGCAGCCTTTCTTCCTTCAAAGATGCTGATAGAAAAACTGAAATTTGAAAGGAAACTCTGGATGTAAACATCTCTTATTAACTATGTATTTGACAGTGCCCTTTCTTAAGTCCTTTATAAATGTGACTGGGTCTAGATGTTTTCTTCTTCACACATGAACCTTTGTTGTTGCTGTAATTCCTATCGTAAAGTCTGCTTACTTAAGATGAAAGTGGTAATCCACCAGGACACATACACTCAAATAATTCTACTGGCCACAGGTTGAGTTCCCTGGGCCTCTGAAATTCTGAGATTTGTATGTGGGAGTGTTTTGGGGAATGACACCTGTGAAGAAGGAGAAGTAGGTCAGAGAGGGGGAGAATTTGAACTGCAATGTGGTGACACAGTGGCCTCCCTCAACTGATCCTCTGATTTTACAGGGACTCTGGGCCTGGGACGGCCCTTCATGGTTGTGCCAAATTAGGGAAAGTGGGCTCTACTTTCATGTCTGGCCAACAAATGCAGAGGGGAGGTGGAAAGTGGGTGGTAGTGCGTGACTTTGGGCAAAGTGGCTCTCTTCAACCAAAGGCAAGTCCTGGAAAGGGTCTCCACTGACAGCTGTCAGCTGCCAATGCTCGCAGCAGCTGAGGAACGAGCCTCTCCTCAGTTCTGAAGTGGGGATTTGGGAGCACATCACAGTACTACACCTTTCATTCTTACCAATAACAAAGATGTAAAAGTTCACTTGGACAGAACAGTTTGTAGAGTAGCTTTTATATCCATCACTTTACACAATTTTTACAACCACCCTGTGTTATAGATTCCATAACCCTATTTTTCTATTGGTACAAATGAGAACAGAGGCTCAGCGATTCTGTGTATAGGTTATATACACAATGGAAATTATACTGGACTCTGGGATTCTCACCTCCTTGTACTAGTCATTCAGGTTCAAGTTTTGGTAAAGTATCTTACTTTTTTGCAAGATGCTGTCTACTAGACCTCCTAAATGCTTGTGAATGTGACTTTGAAGAGTAACATAGATGGCCCTGACCAGGAGGCTCAGTTGGTTGGATTGTCATCCCATACACCAAGAGGCTGTGGGTTCGATTCCCAGTTAGGGCGCATAGCTAGATTGTGGATTTGATCCCTGGTCAAGGCATATACGGGAGGCAACCGATCAATATTTCTCTTTCACATCGATGTTTCTCTATCTCTCTCTCTTTCTCCCTTTGCCTCTCTCTAAAATCAATAAACATATCCTTGGGTGAGGATTAAAAAAAGAGAGTAATATGGATGGCCTCTTGTTCATCTTTTGAATGAAGAGCATGACCCCATGCTTTATGTAGAGCTTGGGTGTGAGAAATAGTATTCATGGAAGGGTCTAGAGTAGGTCTGTCATTTCCTCACTAGTCTAGGTTTAGACTCTGGA